TGACTTGGATGTATAGTTGTCTCATTGGCACTCATATCACATCTTCTTATTTATATATAATAGGTAAAAATGTCAAAAATTGGGGTACAGCAGTAAACATTGTGTAATGATCTTAATTACTATAAAAACAAATAACTATTTCAACAAAGAAAAACACCAATAGCATATAGACACTCTATAGACAAAGTACATGAGCAAAAATGAAAACAAGAAAACGAAAATGACAATAGCAAAATAACACATTGGTGGGATGTATAAATACTGAGCCACGCCGAAAGTATATTACCAAAAATGGACTAAACAGTAAAGGTTAAAAATATACAAAGACAAATAAAAAGAACACTATAACACGTAATTAATATGATTAAGAAGATAAACAATATTGATCATTTTTGCTTATTATTTAAAAAACTATAACAGATAGAGAAAAAGTTATGATAGCAAATATGATCTGCATGCATGATCCATAAATAATTCCAACATAGCCCGAGATCTTTCGTCGACTCTTTATTGGTGTTATTGTCAACAACATACAACTTTTACTAATTTTTTGCTTGTTTGTCTTTTTAGTGAAAAACTATAATAGATAGATAGATAGAATTTGAATAGCAAAAATGACCAGAGAGACATGATCTACAAATGAGTCAACATGGTTGAAATTGATAGTCAACTCCTTATACCGGTAGTTATTGCCCTTCAATGATGATTTTTATCATTTTGTTTTGCGTTTTTGCCTTCTATTTTTTGTTTTTAAAAACAAGACAAGAGATCTGCAAACAGTTCCGCAAAGATTGTCAGTTGTATTCTCATAAGAGTAATTGGTCTTAAATGACGATTTGTTTACTCTTTTTGTGTGTGTTTGCCCTAAAACTAAAGACAGTGACAAACTGTAAACAGAAAAAAAATACCAGCAATACAAAAAAGGGATTTTAGTCATGAGTCGTATTCTAGTCTACACTGTAAGAGAGTGATCATTGTTGAAGATATACTTATAGCTAGGTGAGCGGCACGGACTTTTTAAAGCCTCTAGTTCAGATCTCCCAATAAAATATCGATTAGTGAGCTAACAAAGTGTACAGAAAAGAGCATACAAAAATCAGTACAAGGAGAGCATTTTACTCATAAAGGGGCACTAGCTACGAGATATATAAAAATTTAAAATATGATTTTTTTTTGTTCAATCAATCATTAATGAAAGTGAAATAGTGAAATAATAATTCGCTTTAAGCGGCCAATATGGTTTAATTTTTTCAAAATAAGCTAAGAAACATTAATGATGAATTATTCACTTGCAAGTGAATAATTCGACCTTATTGAATCCGTATTCATGTGAACTTCAATTTAACCCCTAAGCTAGAGATTGATAACGCATGCATTGTGCGCGTTGAGTTATTTAAAGGGAGAGAATGTCAACATTGAAAGTGAAACAAAGGTAAATCATTTGATTGACTGATTCGATCCACAAAACATCATTCTTATACAGGTAAAAACGATGATTAACATATATTTTTAATCTATAATATGAAATTAAACAGACCTAGAAAAATTCAATAGCACGCGTTTGCTTAATCTATTTATATCTTTATTCATGTTTACATCGCTAATATGGTCATCGGATGACTTTGGAGGTCAACTCGGTAGTTAATTAGATGGCGTCTAGACTAAAATACACACGAAACGAAGCTACGTGTTATCATGCCCATGTCCTGTTAACTGTTTATTTTAGACATTTAATAGTTTGGATAAATGTTTTATATTGTTATAAATCAAATATGAGAATTTGAGTCAAATCGGTGAACATGAATTTGACAGCTAGTGTCCCTTTAACGAAATTTAGCAAATCGGATAAAAGTTCCGTTTTATTGATTTAAAATTTAAAGACTGTCACCGAATTCGTCCTTTCAGTTTGAATAGATGAATCTTCATGAAAAAAGCACCAAAAAGTAAGCGTGACGTCGTGAATGGATTGTGCATAAAAAACTTAAGTTTTCCATGTTTTGTATTACATTATAAAAATACACTTGTATGATTCATACAGTAAACAGGAATTCAGTGAACCCTTATGAATTTTAAATTAATAAAACAGAACTTTAAGTTTTAAACCAATAAAACTGAACTGTAACATACCATTTTTAAAGAAAATTCGCAGGACATGTTTGGAATATTTAAAGTCAAATTATTCTTTTTTTTCGATATCTATTTGCATCATGTAGTTGTGCAACTTCATACAGAATATTCAATTTGCTTTATCCCAAAAAGTTTAAAAGTTACTTATGTGTTCTTTTTCGATATTGATATGCAGTTCCACAATTTTTAGTTGTTTGGAAAGTCCACTTTCTATTTATATCTATATTTATGTTTATATCGCTTATATGACCATCGGAGGTTTTCGGAGGTCAACGCGATAGTTAATTAGATGGCGTCTAGACTTAAATACACACGAAACGAAGTTACATATTCTCGAGCCAATGCCCTGTAAATTGTTTATTTTAGACTTTTTATACTTTGGATAAATGTTTTACATTGTTATAAATCAAATATGAGAATTTGAGTCAAATCGGTTAGCATGAATTTGACAGCTAGTGCCCCTTTAACTAATTATATAATAGATAACAAAAACACAGGTACAAACATAAAAAATCTAATCGTGAGAATGTTAGCTGTCACTTGAAAGCAAGCTCACTTAATAACATCAACGGTACCAATTTTACGGCACAAGGTGCGCATTTTGACAATAAATGTCTCTTCACAGATGCTCGAGACCAAAAAAGTAAAACTCCAAAACTATCATGCTGATTTGAAATCATGCAACCTTACAAATTAGCAAAATGCTTCTGACGATACAGATGTATAAAGGGTTATATTCATTTTCTAGTATTTGATAGTTTAGCCTTGCCTCAAATTTAAGATCAGATTTTTTGTCAATGTAGTTAAAAGGTTCAATATAACTTTGAATCAGTATATTTATAGGGAGTACATACACTTATAATGGTGTCACTTGACCTTAACCTCTATTTCATTTTCATTGCTTCACATTTAAACAATGAGATTGCAAAGTACATTTGATAAAGTTATCAACGATTTTTTATTTGTCATGAGTAACACGACGGATGCCAAACGTGTAAAAGGATCTTCTTACCCTTCCGGAGCACATGGGTTATGTGGATCATTCTTTAGTTTTCTGTAAATTGTTTTGTAGACTATCTTTTCGTCATTTATTTTCCTCGTGCAATTTAAAAAGTAAAACTAGGAGAATTTGGTATGGTTCCCAATGATACAACTTTCCACTATTGTATGTTTTTCTTCGACTTATTTTTCATTGTCCCTTTTGGTATCTTTTGCATATTTTCAGCTCACCTGGCTTGAAGGGCCAGAGTAGCATTTTCTATCACTTGGCGTCCGTCGTCGTCCGTCGTCCAAAAGATCACCTCATCTAAAACTACTGGGCCAAATTTAACCAAACTTGGCCTAAATTATCAATTAGGTATCTAATTTGAAAATTATGTCCGATGACCCCGCCTGTCGACAAACATGGTCGACATGGCTAAAAATATAACAAATTGGTAAAATGCATTTTTTGTCTATTATCATTAGAAGCCGCTATAGAAAGAAAAAATCTGATAGGGAAAAATGTTCAGAATGATGAGATCTACATAATGGCTATTGAAATCAAAACTCTCAGATGACATCTTATAAGAGTTATTGCCGTTAAACAACGAATTTCATAATTTTTTTTGCATTTTTGCCTATTATCTCGAAACTATAATAGATAGAAACTTTGAGAGCAAAAATTATTAACATGACAACATCTACAAATAAGACAACATGACCGAAATTGTTAGTTGCCTCATCATTGAAGTTATTGGCCTTTAAAGAAGATTTTTCTCATTTTTTTGGCATTTTTGCGCCTATCATCTTGAAAACAATAAAGGATAGATAGAAACTTTAAATAGCAAAAATGAACACCAAGACAAGATCTACATGACCAAAATAGCTAGTCGACTCCTCATTAAAATTATTGCCTTTTAATGATAACCGACTGTGCAAGACCCTCATGGGTAGTCAGGGTCGTTAAAAACCCCCTCGTCGTCTTTAATGATGATTTTCCCCATTCTTTTGCATTTTGCCTATCATCATGAAAACTATAATAGACAGATAGAAACTTTAAATGGCAAAAATGAGTAGCAAGACAAGATCTATAAATACATCAGCATGAACGAAATCATTAGTCGATTCCTAATTGAAGTTATTGCTCTATAATGACGATTTCCCCAATTTTTGCATGTTTTTCTATTATCTTGAAAACTATGATAACTTTAGATAGCAAAAGTTATCAGCAAGATAAGATCTACAAATCAGCTGATATGGCTGAAATATTTTAAAGTTGATTCGTTATTGGAGGTATTTAATGATAATTGTAAATATTTTTTGTTGCATTTTTTGCCTATTATCTTGAAAACTATAATTTTAATAGATAAATAGAAACTTTAAAAAGGAAAAATGATTAACAAGATAAGATCTACAAATACGTTAACATTACTGAAATTGTCAGTTAACTCAGACTAAAAAGAGTTACTCTCCTTTAATGATGATTTGTACTAAACAGTGACCATTGTTGAAGATGCAGGTGAGCGACACAGGCTCTTAAGGGTCTCTACTTATAAACGATATACGTAGTTTGACATTCATGTCATAGACTGTAACATTAAACATATTATTTATTCATAGACAGTTAACACAGATGAGATATTTGTGTATGTCCACTCTTGTTTATCATATGTCCTCAACGTTTTAATTATGTGTAGTTTGCTTTTAATATGTTGGCATAGCCATAATATTCATCCTGTAATTGCGATCCGTAGGCAAAAATATTTATTAAGGGTTACAAAATTACATTGAACGTGCTGTTTGTAAAGGAGTTAATATGATGGTCAGAGTTTTTTTGTGTAGATTTTTTTCACATATGATATAGTCTAATACCGATCTTAAAATATTTTTAGGTGGTGCGTTTCTTGAAGTAAAAAGCTTTATCAAAAGAATAGCTTACATTCCTCGTGTAAAATGTGTGAGGTTCAAAAATCTCTATCAGTGTAGAATCAGACATGGCTTTAGGACTAACTATTACCTTAAAGTTGACCCTGAACAACATCTATCAATGGAACAGTTAACCAGTGAAAAACAAGATTACTGTATGTATCATTTACTAGTATTTAAATAAATAACTTTCCAAATAGTCGAACAGATCTGACACCACGAAAACAAATTATTAGTCTTTTTTACGATAACTAAATTATGTATTGATCAAGATTCAGATTGAATTTACTCTATCTTGAAAAAAAATTCACGAAATTGAGAAATAAATTATTTTTCAATTATTTAAGAGTATTTTTCAAAGCTTATACTGTACTATAACAGAGCGTTATACATCGGTTTCAAGGACACTATCACGAATTGGTTGACATAAAAGATATGTCTGTGTACCAACTAATTAGCAACATATCTTTTTGCAGTCTAAGATATTTAGATACTAGAATAGTTGTCTAATCTGTAAGTTTATCAATTGTGTCATATTCCCAATTGTAACATTTGACTAAGTGTAAATTCGCATGGAGGTGATGCATGCATAGTAGGAGCTTACATTGTCGGAGCACCATATATCGCTCCTATTGGGGTTCGTTCTATTTCCTCATTTTTGTTTATTGTCTTTATTGGTCTTCTTAATCGATTTGTGATCTAGATCTGGACTTTTTAGCAGAATTTATGGGCGATTTCAAAACTTTCAACTTTTATTTGAAGACTTATAATACTTCAGATTAAACAAAAATGATGAAATCACGAAAGTTAATTAGCAGCCAAAGTTTTCGATCAACAAACACCGAATGTAATATGTCACATATTTTGTCGAATATACGTTATTGATTCGTAATAAATGTAAAAAGCGTGCACAGAGTACTTAGTTTTGTATATAAGCATGCACTGCTTCAACACTTTGCATAATTCGCATATGTAAATAACTAGGCGAATGCATAGAAAATATCTCACGTGATATGACTCTTTCCATTTCATCATTAAAACGGCTACTATCCGGAACTCTCAAAACGCCAAATTCCCGTTTTTCAGCAGTAACATACCCTCTACTCCATCGTATGGCGTTTAAATATCTCAGTTAATTCTCTACGCTCGTGCATGTTCACACTTTAAAAACTTCATTAACAAGGATGTGCTCTTTAAACATTAGTTGCTCCAACAGAGTTATGAGGAAGAATGACTGAAATCGTCACTACATAAGTTTCACGGTCACCATTATGAATTTGTTGACCGATACGATGTGTCGGTGTCTCAACTTATATATTTGTATGGTCTTAGATCTTTAGATACCAGTAAAGTCGTCTGATATATAGTTTACAGATTGTGTCATATTCCCGATTGTAAAATTTTGACAGAATGTGAATTCACATGTCGGGTAATGCACGCATAGCAGGAGACGCTTATACTGTTGACGTTTATACTGTTGACGCTTATACTGTTGACGCTTATACTGTTGACACATCCGGTCTAGCTCCCGTTGGAGTTCATGCGATTCGGTCAGTTTTTGTTTGTTGCCTTGATTTTCTCTTCCTAATCGATTTACGAGATTTCAGCATCGATAAACTACTGTATCCTTTATGTAGGCCGTACACCAAGAGGTCAGTCCAGTGTGTTTTGGAATGAATAGTGAAATTCTTAGGAAAAACAGTGACAAATAGCAGTAGACAAATACAAACATACAACTATTTTGCTACAGGAACTTTCTTTCATTCCAAATTTTTTTAAGATCAGCTCAGATTTATCTATTTTAGAATGGTCATTATAGAAACATAGAAGTATTAAGTATAATAAAGATCAAAACATATTTTCACAATTTTTATATAAAATATTGTCATATTACATATTATCAAACGTCCTGTACGACTCAATATTCTATAATGGACTTTTAAATGAAGTTATTCTTTTTCCACAGGGAGTTTTGATTGCTACATTTTCAAATGTCTCAAAATGTGTGTATCACCTGAAGAAATTCCAACGACCATGTTCATCTGTGTGCTACGATCATGTCACCAGTTCGAAAAGCAAAGACCATACATTATGGCGAAAAATTGTGCAAACGTTGGAGTGACGGTAAGAAAGAAAAAAATATCCACGAAATAAATCGTTTTAAGAAGGTATGAAATTATGAATTCGGAAATAAAAAAATTAAAAATCTATCAAATAAAATCGTTTTTGAATGAGATCGTCTCAAAAGCACAATCTATTCGTATCGAATGTTAGTTGTAAAAAACTCCTTCAAAGTAATCTGATGTGTAGCTTATTTCGTGCATACAACTAGTATGCCTAATTTTTGTCATACAATACAACTTATTAACAAGCGATGACCACCATTAAAATTATAAGATATTTCTAACATATGGACAAAGGCGTCAATGTTATAAAGATACAGTTTTCAATATAACTCCTTTTTTCGTCCCATACATGTCAGATGGAATGGAGAACATCAGTTTACACACACATAACCGTCACACGTTATCACCTACATTTTTACTCACTTTTGCAGGCTAAGACTCAGGTTTTATTTTCTTTTTCTTATAGTAGTACAGTATATATGAATGATTTATACTTATTCATTGAAGTATTTGTATAGAAACAAAGAAAGATATAACTTACCACATTTTCTGCTGAATTCTTATAGCGTTCCTGGTGATGGCAAATCCAGAAAAGCGCTTCGGTCGCACGACATTTATCAAGTGTTATTTTCATTTGTGAACATACCCCTGGTCATCTGCGACACTGATATTCTAGAATGGTAAACCAACAACTAGTGATGGTATCCGTAAATTTTCGAAGGGATGACTTCAACCTTACTTCTTTGAACCCTTGTTGCAATAGCTTCCTCCATGAAAGGAGCATTCGTCAATCAAGAAAACATAATAGGAAACGTAAACTCTGGAAAATCGTTCTAACTGGGAAACCATATATAATTCATGTGGACATCATTCTAACTTTTGGTTTCTCCTTTACAAAATTATCATTGAGTCAATTTTGAATGAAATTTCCTATATAGAGTATGTGGTAAGTAAGTCGAGCTCCTCTTAAAATGAACATGATAGATCCATTTATTTGCAGAAGATATGTACACAAACGAAAGATATGCATCTGGAAAGGACATTGATTTTTAAATTTTCACAAAACTACGAGTTGTTGAACAAATTCATTTCATTTTTTTTTATTATTTGTTTTTTATGGAAAGTTTGCTATAGCTTGCTATAGCAATATACTTTCCTAAGGCATCGGCCTCAAACCGGAATTTGGACAGACTATCTTACTATAGGATGTGTGTTCTACTCCTAGATAATGTAGTACTAGTATTTGAATACTAATTCTAGGAAGATGCTTTTGAAATTTTGAGTTACTTCTATTTTGATTAGCTTACAGCTTGAATTGAAATGTACTGAATGTTCATCGATAATTCAAATGAATTCAACTTCATTTTGAAAATAGCTATCACAAACACTACTTCGCGGATCTGAGCTTCGCGGTAATTAAAATCAATACACATCTACACGAGACAGCAGTTTCTACGTTATGCTTTTATCTGTATTCCCCAGACATGCATGAGATCCATATATGTGTACCTCCCGACGGGAGTACAATAATCCCGGTTTCAGGGGTTTCCTCCCGTCCTCCGGTTGAAGAGAAAGTAAATACCGTGTTTAAAATATTTCATGAATGAACATTTTTCGACGCTATTTTTACTACGATTTTTACAAATGTTTATTTAAGACGTAAAAGCCCGAGTGTATCGAAAGTAACCTGGTATCTCATCTCGGCCCATAACAGACTCGGACTATAACAGACTCGGCCTATTACAAAATCGGACTATAACAAACTCGGCCTTTTACAAAATCGGACTATGACAAACTCGACCTATTACAAAATCGGACTTTAACAAAATTCGTATATACTGTTTGTTATTAAGTCTCACAAACAATGTTTGGAGACTTATTGTTTTTGCTCAGTTCTTATTATTTTTCTTCTTGGGGTCTATTTATGGGAATTTTGAGGGGCCTACAGAAGGGAGGGATTTTCTAAAGAACCCTATGGGATTTTATTTTTTAAATTTTCAAATGACTATAGCTTGAAAACAGTGAGTGATAGACACACGCGGTCTTCAGTAATGATCACAGGACAATAAAACAAATCAAATAAAATATAGGTTGAGTCCCTTTCAATTTGAGAATGGGCTTTTATCTTGTAAACAGTCGAGATCCCCACACCTAAACCATATATATTCATGTATGGGATAATAAAATAAATCAAATGAAATATAGCATGAGTCCCTCTGGGTCACCCCCACCACCTCCTGTTTGAGAACTTGTAAACGGTCGAGATCCCCACCCCTAAACCATATATATTCTTGTATGGGACAATAAAACAAATCAAATGAAATATAGGGGAGTCCCTGGGGGTCACCCCACCCCATCCTGTTTGAGAACTTGTAAACGGTCGAGATCCCTACCCCTAACCCATATATATCCTTGTATGGGACATAAAACAAATCAAATGAAATATAGCGGGAATCCCTGGGGGTCAACCCCACCCCATCCTGTTTGAGAACTTGTAAACGGTCGAGATCCCCACCCCTAAACCATATATATTCCTGTTCATGATTTCAAGAAGATTTGAATGACATACAGGGTTAATCCCTAGGCGTCACTTATGCATATCACTTTACTAGACCAAACCAATTTGTACTGGACTTTGCCCAATGTCAGGTGACCATGGGAATGACTAATTATGGGAGATTTGTTTGGGAGACTTCGTAACAGCATCCTGTAACAATTATTTCTTGTATTAAGTAAAAAATTTTAAAAGTCGGAAAAAACCGTTAACCACACAATCTACTTATCGTAGTCCTAGTTTGTTCAATATATAACAATTCAAACAAGAAAACTAACTGCTTAATTAGTAATAATACAATTTACTAAAACAAATATGAAGGACCTTAATCAATAAAAAATACTTAATCACAGGCCCTTTACATGGGATGGGCACAGAAAGAAATTAACAGAGCTTTCTGTATATTTGATTATTTTAAATCTACAGTTGAAGGTGGTACATAACACTACAGGGAGATAACTCTGTAAAAATCAGCTGAACGTTTTAATCACGTTCTATTGTTAAGAAAATATTAAGCTTCTCAATGATAAAAATTAGCGTTTGTCAAACTGCTATATATCCAATGAAATTTTTCCGATAAAGTGTGTGGTTCAAGTTTTTTGAAATTTTTATATTTTTGACAAAGGGTCAAAGTAAATATTTTGTCAAACTTTTATGAAAATTAAACGAGCCAAATTAATTTTAGTCAAGGTGTTTGGTACCACCTTAAGGTTGCAATAGAAATTATCAAAATTTTACATGACAAACATATGAAAACAGTGATTTTTGATAATTGTTGATGAGACAATGGTTTAGGGAAAACACCAAAGCTGTGATTAAATACATATTTGAAGTAATACACATCTACAACCTATTTGAAATAATACACATCTACAACCTATTTGAAGTAATACACATCTACAACCTATATGAAATAATACACATCAACAACCTTTGTTTAAATAATACACATCTACCGTTGCAAACTTTCCACAGGTGCTATCCAGCACTTTGATTTTTTTTTTTGGGGGGGGGGGTATAGTTTGTGGAACATTTCTTAAAGTTTACAAGTTACCTTTGCATTTTTCCAACAATTGATTATTCGATATATATATATGAAGATGATCAAAGGGAAATAATTAGATTTTCCTTGTTTTTTTTCACAAAATTTTAATTCGTTGTATAGCTTTGTAAATTTTCCGCTTATTTTTTTATAGAGTACAAGTTTAGTTCATCTAACTCTGAAAAGTTCTAACCAGTGAACTTTGTGCCTTGTAGAATAGTTACTAGTATTTGACAAAGGTATACATCAAGGTACATTACCTTCCCAAAATTGTCCATAAAATAGACCATAGTTGGATGAAATCTCATATTTGTTCAAGTTCCCGTATCTATATGCTGTGGGGTCATATTTCAGTCTAATTTAATTGGTACATTTTGCAGAGGTACTGTGAGAACTGCTCACATTTATACACCCGTCTTACATAACAAAGTTGTAGACACTCCCGAGGATTTTTTTAATGTTGTATAATACAATATCTGCTGGTTTCGTGTAACATAACAAAGTTGTTGTAAATTGGGAATGCCTGGTCATATATCTGAAAAGGAATAGGTGAAAAATTCAAAACATCAAAGGATCTATCTGAAAAATATAAACTAAATTCTATTACACCGGAGATGTTATTACCTAATCCACGATTCGCTTTTGGAAATAACATAATTATAATATTTTGTACACACTATATGATTAAACAAATGAACTTTGTCATTTAGTAATTTTTAAATGTTTTACTTGAGTTGTGTATAAAACATTTTAAACTATAGACCATTTTAAACTATAGACCATATATGTTAAATCAACCTTACATAATAGGAAAAATAATGAACTATAATTGGATCTGCTATACTTGGACATGTGGATAATCAATTCTCGATTCGTTTAATTGTAAATCCTTTTAAGTATTTTTCATTTTTGAAATTTTTGAAAATGGAGATCAAGGTCAACATATGCACGATATTAACTATAGGTACTGTACATGTGTTTTTGTCGTCTATATTCCCAGTGAAGCAGTAATAACAGAGAATTCCATTAATTTAGCAATCATTTTGTTCAAATATTTGTGCATGGATATGATTAATGATCTGATTCAATCAATACATGTAATTCATATTTGAACTCAATGTTAACATTTCAAAGGATGCAACAAATTCATAAATTACCTTTTCTGCCTGACAATAAAAGAAAGAATAACACTAAATTTCAATATGCATTCTGCAAAATTGATTAACAAATATAATAGATACATGTTTAGAAAGTCTTATTAAACGACCATCATAGGATAAATCAACCTGGTACACAAGAGACCTTAAACTGTTCGGTTTGTATATTATTTCAGTCCAGAATCCTTGAGAAGATGTATTGATAACTCATTTATGTTCTACTTTCTTTAGGTTTTCCCCACTTTAGAACTGGACGTTCAAAGGACTGACAAAGCAGACCCTCGGTTTTTCAGAGTTATGAAGACTTCAAATGGAAAACATCTTTTTGAGTCTCTCATTTATAAAGGCAAGTTTAATGTTTCAGGATACAACTTAGTTTTTTGCATAATTTACCCAAAGTGTTTTTTACATTTAATTTATTTATGTAGACACAAACAATGGTTCATTCAAACCTTTTAAGATGGCTATTTGATTTAGATTATGCCAGACTTAAGAATAATAGCAAGATGAATCCTTCAGAGGAAACTCTTATGATTGCTATATACAATATCTTAAAGTAATTAAAATCTCATTAAACTGCACCAAACACCATAAAGTAGTACAGCAAACAAGACTTTTGGTTTTTCGTCAAAGTAATATATACATGTATATGAATAATAGATGTAAGTATACTTCAATAATTCGTGTACGATTTGCATACCTGTAAATACTACAAGTTTCCAAAACTACTTTCGTAACTATGTAACTATAATAGAAAAAACAAAGGATATGGGGTATCCATCCATGACAAAACATCAGTTATGTAAACATTATGTAGATCTCACTGTGGTATATTTGTGCGCGATACACATAAATGGGATCCTTGGGCTCCAAGAAAGTACAAATTGAAAGAAAAAATCAATATTTGGGTTGAGAATTATATTTAATAAACTTTCTTTCTAGAGGTTATTGGTGTGTAAACTTGACCGCTGACTCACAATCAAAATATTCCTTCAAATGCTCAAACTTATTTCTTCCAGAAAACCATCAACGTGTTTATGTTTACTTTCCGGCGCATGCCTAGTTAATGTTTCTAAATTTATTAAATGTTATCAAAACGTAGGTTATCAAATCATTATTCATTTTTGTTTGGTCATATATTTTTTATATTACCAATAATTTTTCTTTGTTTTTAGATTATATTTTTTTTTGTATTTTCAATACTGTGGATTCATTATTATTCGTTGGATACCAATTTCCGTGGATTTCGTGGGTACATGTAAACCACGAAATTCAATGTTCAACGAATTACATATTTTCAATAAGGGTTTATGAAGACTTTTGCAAAACCACAAAATCAAATATCCACGAAAAGGCAAGTTTTCCGCAATCCACGAAAATTGGTACCCACGAAAATAAGTGAATCCACAGTATATCTTTTTTTATTTTATTTTCAATATATCTTTTTTTATTTTTATTTTTATTTAAGATAAAACATGATTGCCTGATTATTCCAGGTGTGGATTAGTATCAAGGAGCACATCGTGAGTGAGTGCACCCTTGAATGTTTCTGTAGTGGTGTTTTTGGTTATGTCAGAGGATATTTTGTTCCTGTCTTTAATGGTTTGAAAAAAGAAAGGCGTCTTTATGAGTGGATCTCGTCACATACTGACTCTGATGTAATACATTTTTGGAAAGGCAATATTTTCAATCACAATTTTGTGAAAAATTGTTAGTCTTTTTTTTAGTCGGCGTTCTTGTAGAGTTTGCCAATTCATGGTGTATAACATCTGAAACACACTGCTGGTGTTGTGATGTCTGTTACATGCATACTATGCCGCCTGTTTTTGTACTTTAAATGTTTGTGATTGGGCTTTAAGGTTTAAGAAATTGTGAAACCTAAGTATTTTGTTTGTTTTACTGATTTTAATATGTGTCCATGCATGTTGTAGTAAAAGTGGATGGAATTTCTCTTGGTTGTTATATGCATGATGTTGCACTTGTCTGTGTGGAAAGGCATACGCCAGTCTTGTTCCCGTTTTATGGCAGTTTTGAGATCTTTTTGAAGGTTAAGGCAGTCGTTTTGAGATTCAGTGTGTCGGTAGATTTTACTGCGAAGTATCTGATTCGGCTATGTTGGATGTATTCTGGAAGGTCATTGGTGTAAATTAGGAATAGTATTGGTTCTAACACTATACCCTGTGGGACACCTGATGTGACTGGTATTTTTGAAGATTACATGTTTTCTAAAAGTACTGCTTGAGTTCTATTTGAAAGAAAAGATTCAACCCAGTTTGTGATTTGTTCTGATATGCCAAAGTATAACATTTTGTATAGTAATCTTTTGTGTGGTACATTGCCGAAAGCTTTAGCAAATCCATGATTATATGATCTGTTTGTATGTTTTTGTCATGGTTTTGTGATAATTCATGTATCAGAGAGAATGTTTGGGACTCACATGATCGTTTTGCCCTAACTCCATGTTGTAGTTCATAAAGTGTTGTTGGTTACTAGTTTTGGCATCATGCTGCTGGCAAAAATATGTTTCGAGTAAGTTATGCTTTTAAGGATATAGGTCTGTAATTACCTGGATGGTGTTTAACCCCTTTTTGAATACAGGTGTCACATTTGCGTGGTTCCATTCAGATGATACCTTGTCTGTTTCTAATGATCTAGCGAATATTAAAGATAGGATGTCTGTACATATATCAATGTTTTGTTTTAATATTCTGTCTGCCAGATGATGTCAGGACCAGTGGCTTTATTATGGTTTATGTTTTGATTAGTTTATAAACATCATCCCCCAATAAAGGTCCTAGTATTCATTGTGGAATACTGTGATACTCCTGGCTCTACCTCCTTCCGATACTTATATGTTGTTACTATGTCTAAGGTCAAGGTCATAGTTACTAAAAGCAAATGTAAATTTACTGTTATCCGGGTATTGATACTTCTGGTTCTACCTCCTTCCGATATTTAAATGTTGGCATTGTACAAGGTCAAACTTTTCTTAGACTGTGTATGAGGTATTTGCACTACTTTCGCTGAAGGTGTACTGAATAATCATTTAAGTCTTGGAGAACATGGTTGATTTATTAGCGTTTTAGCAAAGCCCTTTCCAACTGATTTTCACACTTAATTTTTTAGCTGTACTGTAACACTAATGTCGCAGGTAAGGAAAGGGTTGAGCGCTCACAAACCTGTAATACCAGCTACATTCTTTATGTGCCTGTCACAAGACTGGAATCTGAAAACCAGTTGTTGTCGTTGGTTGCTGTCTGACACGATTAAATTTTTGTTTGTTATTGTAGTATGAATCAGACTATTTGTTTTTCTCTTTTTAATTGTTTCAATTTCCGTCAAACAGGTTTTTTATCATATGAGTCTTCTATACGGCATAGTATTTGATCATTTTTGAAGGCCGGTCATCTGTAATTGGTTTGAAACCTTACTTTGATATATGGTTTCATATATAATGAAAGGGAGACCCTGTCTGGTTTGAAGTCAATATGTCTAAGGTCAAGGTCAAAGTAACTTAAAATAGACCAAACTTTGAGCATGAAAGTGGTTTCAAGGTACTACATCATATACTTAATATCGCATTGCAACCTTGCTTGGATATGTGGTCACATATACATATAATGTGAGGCAGATACCTAATGATGTTGAAGTCACTGGGCCTAAGTTCAAGGTCATAGTTAGTTAATATAGATTTTTGAAATGCAATATCACTGTCTTAAATCATAACAGGAAAGAATCATACCTAAAAATAGACATTAGAATATTTGCCAACATGTCATTGTTATAAGCTCTTCCCTTTTTAAGGATAGGGGTGTTGTGTGTGTGATCGTACTCACTGAAGGATTATTTTGGCCGGCGTTTGTACATAAATGCACACGATTCACACACAAACAAAATATTCGGTACAATTGGTCACCGGTCACAACTTATATTGTTATGAAGACTTTGGTGATTTGTGACAGCCGTCTAAACATTATAAATACAATTTATTTGTATCTAAAGTATAATTTTGTTAAATCGCTTTTTATTGATTAGTACAATTACACATTATTTTTCAATATTTCAGACTATTATCTAAGTTGGCCTAATCCGTTGAGCAACAAGTTGAAGTTGAAAAAGCATACACCAGTGGAGATGTCAATGGCTGTAGAAAATATCGAAGAATGTCATTTTGAAATTATAAACTCTGAGATGATATGTTAAAGAAAAACGGATATTTGTAAATAGAGGAGAAGGCTATTATAGATTGTGATATTATATGATTATAATTATAAATAAAGGCAATAGTAGTATACCGGTGTTCAAAAGTCATAAATCGATTAGGAGAAAACAAATCCGGGTTACATACAAAAACCGAGGAACACACATCAACTATAAGAGCAAAACAAATGAACCACAGGAACACCGAAGTGCAACAAAAACAAACGCCAATACACATAGAAACGAACTATTTGATAACAACTGCCATATTCCTAACTTGTACAGGACATTTTCAGATAAAAATGGTGGTTTCATGCCATGCTAAACCTCCCGCTTAATGACAATGTTAAAAAATATCGCTAAAACACTACGTGACAGAAATACGGAAATATAAAATTAGCAAAAAACGTGTTTCAGATAAATGAACGAATAATTTCAAGACATCTATATATTATTCACTTTTTGTCTTAAATAAGCAACAATCAGTCAATCAGTTGGGGATAACGCTAATCGGAGTGAAATGAGTATTAAAGCAACCATTCAATATTGTGTCCACGTTCTACTAACAATTAAAACATTATGATGTTTTGTACTCACTCTAAAAAAAAAGAGATGTGGTATGATTGTCAATGAGACAACTATCCACCAGAGTTAAAATGAAGTTGATGTAAGCATTTATAGGAAACTAAGAGAAAAAATTGTTTTATTTGAAATTATCAAACATGCTAAATAATTGTTATGAGGAGTATTCAAAGAAAACAATAGAAAACGAAGATGTGAAGAAGTTATGCTATGATTGACAATTTGGTAGCAATCGGCAACATATCAAAAGAAGAGCAAACAAATAGTAACACTGCATATACAGTTATATCTACTTCATATTTTGACTTACATCTATAAATTGATAGTAAGGATGGGCTGAGAACTAAATTTTACGACAAAAAGAGATTATCTCAATATTCCTTTTGTGAACTTTTCATTTCTATGCAGCAACATATGTATGTGTCAGAATAAAGGTATTTGTGATCGCTCGGTGTTCTTTACCAAACATGAGACAATAGTTCAACGGCATTACAATGCAGAAAACTTTAAAACACAATCAAAATGAGCCTTACTTACTGAAATTTTTCGTCGGATAAAAGCTTAAGAACTCGACCGGTTAGAACAGTCTTAGTTACTGAAACAGAAATACAAGTTCGGCTAACAAATATTTTTTTTCCGAATACCTTGTTTTTTATGTTTTTATATATAGTATGCAAACTTTCAAATTTCAATTTGTAAATAGTTAAGGGACAATAAAAATAGCTGTACATTTACTCAACAATATTTTCTGATACTTAAAATACTAGTAAGTGCTTTATCAATGTTTACCAATTTTTAACTTTACTGAATTCGATCCATTATGGATTTGAAAAATTGAACATAAGCATAGGTGTCGAAAGTTACCCACCTAGGGATCCTGCGTATCCTCCATAAAAGGGAGAGGGTAGAGAAGCAACTTTCTTGGTCCTGTCAATTCGACAACAAATCTATTAAAAGTATCATTCAAATGTTCAAACTTATTGTCCATTTGAATAAACACACTTTCAACGTAATAAATTAAAAGTAAACAAGGCAATAAGACCTTTAAATATTGTCTTTAACGGGACTAACATAGATTTTATTTTTGATAGTTTAATACATAATTAAACATGTATTGCTATCCGTTATTAACACATCCGGTCCTGCATTCTTTTGATACATATATGTTTGAATTGTACAAGACCATGCTTTTCTTCGACAGCTTTAGACTTTTACTTTGATAGTATTAAAGAAGTATTATGATTATGGTTTATAGTGAATGCAGATAACTGAATCCTTTTATGTCATGTCTATGGAAATATAAGTGTACTTAATTGTACACTGTTTTCCCTATAACCTACTCAAGTTGTCCATGATATGCCTTCAGAAGAACAATTTTTACTATCCTCAACACAAGATTAAAGGTCATAAAAATAAACTGAATATTTGGTGCCAGAACATTAACAAATTGAACGAGTTGTTTAACCCTGCACACAAAAAAAATATTACTAAGTAATTATATTTTACTTAAATCAAGTATTCTTTTTTATTACTTATTACTAGAAATTACTTACCAATTACTCATAATTCCTAGCCATTACTTATATTTTACTAGATTTGAACATAGTAACTTGAAACAAGTAATTGTTTTACTGAAAATGTGTGTGCATTCAAAACAATTACTTAAATACAAAAAAAATACTTATAGTAATTTTACTCACTTGAGTAAATAAATTACTTAGTCCTTATTTCAGTAACAACTTACTGTTTTAAGTAAAAAGAAATTACTTGAATTAAGTAAAATATTTAAAGAACTACACATTTTTATATTTTCTTACTAAAATGCATTACTTACTTACTTACTGCCCTTGTACGCCATTGCCGTGTAGGGCAGTAACGAAGATTTTCCACTTTTGTCGGTCGTTGGCAGTTTTCTGTAGTGTGCCCCATGTCTGTTGATGTTTACTAGCCTCTGCCTCTACAGTTCTCCATGTCATTTTGGGTCTTCCTCTCTTTCTTTTACCTTCTGGGGTCCATTGGAGTGCTGTTTTTGTGATATTCCCCTGGTCTTTCCGACGGACATGTCCAATCCACCTCCAGCGTCTTCTCAATATAGTTGTGGCTATATCTTGTTGCTGGTATCTGATAAGAAGGTTCTTGTTTGAAATTTTTTGTGGCCAAAAGATTCGCAGAATCCTTTTGAGACTTTTGGTATGGAATACCGACAGCTTGTTTTGGTCGTGGTCTGTCATCCTCCAACATTCTGAACCATACAAAAGTAAAGGCAAGACACAGCTGCTGTAAAGGTTGAGTCCGGATGGTAAATTGACCAGATCTCCATACAGCCTGCAGGTTGTTAAGAGCTGACCTTGCCTTTGATAGTCGTCTTTGATGTCATATTTGTATCAACATGTGGTTATGTTTTCCATCTAGTAAAACTGACCCTGGGTTGTTTACGTTTAGCGTCATGATTTCAGTTTTTTTCTTAATGTTGATTTTCAGCCCCATCTGTCCTGAATATTTTTGTAGTTCTGAGGTCTTATCTTGGATATGTTGGTTTGTGTGTGTGAGACATTAATGCTAGGTCGTCAGCAAAATCTAGGTCTTCCAAAGTGGTGAAGGTGCCGCATCTAATGCCTCTTGGTGTATCAGCAGTTGTTTGTCTCATTATCCAGTCTATGACTATGATGAAGAGTGTGGATGACATGACACACCCTTGTCTTACTCCTGTTTTTACTTGGAAGTATATATCACTGTATCCAACCCTGCACCGGAATCTGTTGAAGAATGCTTTTATGAGGTTTATAAGATGTTGTTGAATGCCATATGATAGCAATATTTTCCAAAGACTATCCCTGTGGATGCTGTCAAACGCTTTCTCAAAGTCGACAAAGTTTATATACAGCTGCCGTTGCCATTCTGTGCATTGTTCTATAATATTTCTTAATGTAAATCCCTGGGCGAAAACCTGCTTGTTCTTTTCGCAGTAGATCATCAATGGAGTCTGCAATTCGTCTTATAATAATTTTTGTCATGATCTTACTTGGGGTGGAAAGTAGTGTAATGCCACGCCAATTGCTAATCATTAAGTACTGCCTTTTTTGGTATTTTGATTATAGTGCCATTATTCCAGACGTATGGTATCTGGGCTTCATTCCAGATGTCTTTAAGATGTTATAAAGCAGGATGGCAGATAAGCCTGGGTCTATTTAAAACAGTTCAGCATTCAGATTGTCGTTTCCAGGTGATTTTCTATTTTTTAGACTTTTGATTGCAGATATTATCTCCTGCATTTCAGGTGGTTCTATGCTGATTTCAAGTTCATTGTTATTCTCTGCTATAATAGGGAGTTCTGAGGGAGTTGGTCTATTTAGTAGCTCACTGAAATGTTCTGTCCATCTTTGTTCTTGTTCATTTTCAGATGTTAACAAATTCCCTAGCTTGTCTTTTACAGGAATATTAGACGATGCTGTGTTTTTACCACAAATAATTTTGGTGATTTTATATAGGTTGCCCTGCTCGCCTTTGCTAGCTGCTTCTTCTGCCTTTTCAGTGAGACTATCCATGTATGAACTCTTGTCATTTCGTACCATTCTATTGACATTCTGTGTATTTTACTATATTCATGTTGGTATCTTTCCTTAAGACGTTGTGATTTTGCCTCGTTCAATTTCTTCTTTGTATTTCTTCTGATAATAATATTGTCCCATGTTCTAGGCATGATCCAATCTTTATGTTTCTGTTTTTGTTTAAATCCAATAGATTCTTCTGCACTTTTAGTAAATATTTCAGAGATTTTCCCCCATTTATCATAAATTGTTTCTGTGTCTTCTTCATCATTTAAGTTTTCTAAAAGTCTGTATCTATTTCTTATCAAGGTTGTATATTCTTTTCTTACGTTGCTTTTTTTCAACTTTTCAATGTCAAACTGCTTCCAAGTTCTTGTGTTCTTTCCAATAGCCCTTAGTTTGAGTTTAATGTCAGCTGTTACCAAATGGTGATCGCTTCCAACATCAGCTCCTCTCTTGACTTTACCATTCAACAGGGATCGTTTCCACAATCCATTTATCATGATGTGATCTATTTGGTTCTTGTCTCGTTGGTTAGGAGAGCACCATGTCAATTTATGAATGTTTCGATGAGGAAAAATTGTCCCTCCTATTACATACTGTAAATTAAGAAATTATTGCGAGGTTTTTATTTATGCGAATAATGCGACTGGTCGACTGTCACAATAATAAGAACTCGCATTATGATGTCTGTTACATATATCTGTATGCAGATTTTCATGATATCGCAATAATTAATCTCGAATTTTTGTCCATTCTTGAAAAATCGCAATAATAAATGCACGCAATAATTTCTGAATTTACAGTAGTTGTTAGTGGTACATATTTCTGCTAGTCTTTCACCATTCTCATTCATATTACGGCATCCATGATTTCCCATAGCTCTTTCAAAGTGGGTGTTACTTGATCCAACTTTGGCAAATCATATCTCCCATGATGATTTTGATGTCATGTTTTGGGGT